CTGACCTTTTAGTAACCAGTTCCTCTGAACCTCTCAAATGCCTGAGGATATCCTCTGAGCCCACCGAGGCATTTCCTTACACCCATATCCCATCTCAATTCACCACTAGTAAAAGCTTTAGTATTTGTACTACTATAGCACGCCAGCACTCCTAGGGCTCTATCGATGACTAGTGATGGGTTCTCACTGCCAGTCAACCAGTAAGTGATCCAGCTCCCAAGTCCCATTTTAGAATCCACCTCCTTAGACAAATCTTCACACCACTTCTCTTAGTTCAGTTCCCCTGGAAAAACAAACTCTCAGAGATGGAGATTTGCATGCAGGAAAAGCATGCTCTCAGGAACAACGTCTTTGAGGAAATAAAGATATGGCCGAAGGAGATGCTGAACTGTACACAGCACAACAGTAACTTCCGATAACGCCAAGGGGCACTCTGAAGCTGGGACGACCCTTCATAGACCTCCCAAATGGGAGAAGGCAGACAGGCTTCGGTACCGACACAGGGACCAGTCATTCAGTATATCAGTCAATACGGGCTGTTCCGCTGTGAGTTGCTAGCAGGCAGCCTGAAAACTGGTGAAATGGACGGATCTGGGCAGGCCACTATAGCACTCCCTCACTCACCACCCCCGCCCCCTCTGCCCCGCCCCGCCCCGCATGATATCCAAACTCCCTGAAATGCCCCAGGCACAGAACCATAAGTGTAAGACCTTAATTCGGAAGAAAATCAAGAAACCAATGCCAAATTTAAAATCATCATATTGATGAAAGTCAGTATATGAAGCATCTGATCAGGGAGGTAAGACTTAAATTGTCAACTGAAATGAAATTAAAACAAAATCAAAGTCAGAAGTTCAGATAAACAGAGGTAGCTCTTGATTCACAAACTGGCATTACTCTGAAATGAATGCTGTTTCTTTTCTCCAGCCACCTGTTTGAGCCTCCACTCCCTGAAATAATCTAAGTTTCCTCTGGATGTCCTATGATGCTGTGAAAAATGGGACCATACTAACATGATAAATCCTGTTTTATAGCTTTCACCCTGCCTGCTTTTCATTTTGTTTTTTGTCCAACCCCCTGAAATTATACTATAGTTATTTCTGGAAGATTCCAGAAGTGTCTTATAAACAAACCTAGTTCATGTTCTCTCTTCATTTGCTACTGCTTCCTAGTGTGGTCTATGGCTAAGCTGAACCAATACTTATAAAAACCCATTAAGTATCTTGTCACTGCTTCTGAGGCCCATTATTGTGTAACTCCTGCCGTTCCACTGCCCCTGTAGGGGTATCAACAATGCAGGAATCAGAGACAGCAATCCAGCCTGTGGAGGTCTTCAGGCTTCCAAATACGTGCCCTGTGAAAGTAGGAACAAGCTATATTTCCCCACTCCTTATCCCTCCCTCAGAATGATCAGAATGAAGTAGAATCCTTTTGCATCCATGAATCTCAGAGCACAGTATTTAGTCTTTTCTTTCTTCCCACTATCACATATGACCAACTAAGGTCATTCACAGAGATTTAGAAAGGAATAAACTCTAAGACCAATCCAGTGTCTCTTCTCATCCTTTATCTACCCCTTTGTGGTAGGCAAAATAATGACCCTCCAAAACATCTATACTGGAACCTTGGAACCTGTGAATATGTTATATTTCATGGCATGGAGAAATTAAGATTGTAGATGGAATTAAGGTTGCTAACTAACTGACCTTATAATAGGGAGATTATCCATGGTTATCTGGATGGGCTATTACACATGGAAGGAGGAGGCAGAAGAGTCAGAATCAGATAAGAAGATGTGAAGTTGAAAGCAGAACTTGAGAGTAATACAATTGCTGACTTTGGAAGAGTTCTCTGAGCCAACGAATATTGGCAGCCTCTAGAATCTGGAAAAGACAAGAAAATGGATTATCTCCTAGAGGCTCCACAAGTAATGCCGTCCAGCCAACACCTTGATTTTAGCCCATTTTAAAGTTCTGACCTCCAGAACTATAAGACAATAGATTTTTTGTTGTTTTAAGCCACTACATTTGTAGTAATTTGTTATAGAAACAATAGTAAGCTAGTAAACTAATAGTAAACTCTGATTCCAGTTCTTTTCTACTGCTATCAACATCCTCAGCAAGTTGACTCATGCAAATGAACCTGGTGGTCCTATCCCCACCAGCCTGCCTGTGTTCAGACATGTTAGGATCCTGGTCACCCCTAAGGGAAAAACTTCCCATCTTGTTAATTCAACAACTCTATAACCATCCGCTGAGGGGATGTAGGGGGAGCCTGGAAATTCACTTGTCAAAATACTCCAGGTACAATTCTGAAACTGATGTGAAACAAACCTTTTGAGGTTTCTTAGTTCATTGAGACTGCTAAGAAAAATACCATAAACTGGGTGGCTTAGAAAAAACATACAATTATTTCTCACAGTTCTGGAGGCTAGAAGTCTAACAGAGTGCCAGAGCGATCTGGTTCTGGCAAAAGCCCCGTTCTGGGTTACCGAATGCCAATTTCTTGCTATGTCCTGACCTGGCAGAAGGGGCAAGATCTCTTTTCTAAGGACAGAAATCCCATCATCAGGGATCTACCTTCACAATCTTCACATTGGGTTTTAGGATTTCAACATATGAATTTCGAGGGGACACAGACATTCAGAATGTAACAGGAGGTAAAGTTTGGGGACTTGGAGAAACTATAATTGTGTGGTTTTTGTCGTGTAGTAGTAAGGAGCCCTAAAACTAAAAGAAGTCCAGTAGAATGCACATATGAGCAGAACTCCATTTAAGAACTATTCTATCTCATGAATTTTCGAACTTTTTTTTTTTATTAATTTGATCAAGACCAGGTACATTACCCTAAACCAAATATTGTAGTTGGCTTGATAAACTACTGGGTAAAGTCATACTTCCAAAATCATAACTTGGTATCAAGAGGCTATGGTGATGCCTGATGATTAGACACAAAATGATTAAGAGATAGAAACTACCATTTTGAACAATATAACCGGAAAATAAATTATTGTTTTTTAAAAAACATGTATACAGGGCGTCAAATAGAAAACAATACATTTGAAAATCAGTCCTTATGTTTTCAGAATCTTTTCATTAGTAAATCATTTGAGATATTCATCTGAACCGACAAAACTCTTTACATGTAGAAAAAAAAAAAAATCAGGAAAAAAAATCAAGAAAATATTTTGAATTAAAAAATTTGCCCCTTTGTTTCACCAAATATTGGTTGATTAAATTTGCTTTGTCTTTATAAGACTACTCTATGTGCAGTTCTTTTGAAATAAATCAATGTAAATATTTTCTTAGGATCTAAGTTTGTAAACAGCACAGATTTCAGTATAGTTTTGTGTTTGTTCCACATCAGATTTTCTAAACTTCAGCTTCATAATTTTTCTCATGTTGGTATACTACTATACATACTATCATTAATATTTTATTTAAGGAAACTAATTTTACTTAAATTCATATTGAAAGAAACTATGTATCACTATCAGAAATTTTTAAAACCTCATTATTTACTGTAAATAGTAAGTAACTACACTTAAAATTGTAAGAAAAATAAACCAATCATATTTTTTGCTTGCTGGAAAAAAAAAAAAAAGATGAAAACACCCCCCCAGGGTGGGACACATTCACTGTAGAGAATAAAAAATAGCCCCACAGCCATGGCCTTGAGACTCAGGCACAACAGAACCAGCTGGAAGGGAAGACGCAGAAGAAGTGGAAACAGACCTCAGCAAACCCTTCCCTCCTTCACAGTGCTGCCTCTTCATGGTGGGGTGGGACTGAGCTTCCTCCTGCCTTTCTTCCCTTCCCGACTCCATGCCAGTTTCTGGGTCAGGTGACAGGGACATCTGCTTCGTTCAATAAGTCCCTTGAGGTGAGAGTGAGGCAAGATCCGCAGAGCCTCGAAGAGAGCCCCTACCTTGCACCCCTCTTGCCTTCCCCCTTGTAGCCCGGTCCCGTCTCAGTGCAGAGGAGAGGCCCAGGCCCAGGGACAGGGCTCAGAGAACAGTGGGGGACTTGGGAAAAGCCACCCTTGCCTCTGGATCCTCAGTCCCTGACTGGGGTAGGATGATCCTCCAGGGTCTCTTCCAGTTGAGACCATCACAGTCTTCAATGCCACCCATCTCATCATCCTGACTCTTAAGAGGAGATGGTTTCCCCTTCTCCCCAATCCCAAGTAATTCCCAGGGGTACTGGACAGGGGATGAGCATTGTTCCACGGTGGAGCCTGTCTCTGGATCCAGGTGAAGTCCAAAAGGCACAGTGAAAGCTCTTTACCTGGAGCAGTGGCTCAAAGAATAACAGGAGGTGATTCTGATGCCTCTAGTTAGAGAAACAGGGACCCCAAGAAGAGTCAGTCTAGAATTTGTGGGGGGACTGGGTAAGAAGTAGGGCTTCCCAGGTGGCTCCAATGGTGAAGAACACACCTGCCAATGCAGGAGACATAAAGAGATGCTGGTTCGATCCCTGGGTCAGGCAGATCCCCTGGAGGAGGGCATGGCAACCCACTCCAGTATTGTTGCCTGGAGAATCCCATGGACAGAGGAGCCTAGCAGGTTACAGTCCATAGGGTCGCAAAGAGTCGGACACGGCTGAAGCGACTTAACACGCACGCGTGTGCACAGGTAAGGAGTGGGGACAGGGAGAGGACATCCCAGTGGCCTGGCTAGTGGCGGCAGGTGGGTTTCTACATGGGAAGGAGCTGGGTCACCTCCAGGGTCAGGAGTCTGGTCCTCCCTCCGAGCTGGGGATGCACATGGTGGGCAGGACGGGGGAGAACCAGTCCATAGTTTTCATAAGCTGTTCAAAGGAATCTGAAACCCCAGAATACCAGAGCCTTTCTTTGAAAAACTTTTATTTCATACAAAATTAATATTTAGAAACAGTCTCACCAGAAAAGTTCAAATCATACCAAAATACAGGGAGCAACAAGAAAAATCCTCCCTGGAGGCCCCCAGTGCTAGAGCCCTCCCCAGAAGAAGCCACTGTTATCTGCTCAGGGTTTATCCTTGGAGAACTCAGGCTCTGGGTCTCTTCTCAACGATGTCTCAGGTGTAGTGGCTACTGAAGCAAGAGAAAAAAACAAACAAAAACCATGTTCACACACACACAAAAATGTTCACACCACATGAAAGCATCCTCTTTTTCCTGAACCCTCCACACCCCTACCCCAGTCATGCCTACCCTACCTGACATACACACTCTGACAACAGTCTGAACTGAGGAAACTCTCCCCAGATCCTTGACCTGGGTGGCAAACCCTAAGCTCCCAAGCACTGGGATGCCGAGGAGCTGCGGCCTCCTTCGGCTCCGGGGCAGGCAATCTTTGGCCCCCAGAAAGCCTTCTCCGGAACCCAAGGAAAGGAGGATAGGGATTGGAAGGCAGGTGTGGGCACTTGTACCTTTATCCTGGGGAGTCTAAAGTCCGTCTGTCCCAAAGGCCTCCAAAACACTAAAAAGGATTAAAACCACAGTTGTAAATTGATTGCCTCTTAATGGGGAAGAGTATATTAGTAAAAACAATTCAGTTGTTTCTGGAGTTCTTTCTAATTTACAGTTGCAGGCTCCAGAGTCCAGCCGGGGAATAAGGCAGCCTCCCCCTCCCCTTGAGCTTGGGGCTGGGGCAGCAGGGAAGAGGGAGGAAAGGAGTGAGAGGGAGGAAGAATTAGAGATGAGACGAGGAGTGAAGCTGGTGAGCAAGCCAGGCATCGCCCCCCAAAATTCCATGTCCTTCCTAGAACCTCAGAATGTGACCTTATTAGACAAGGCTTTGTAGCAATCTACTATTTATTACTGGAGTGTTGCAGTCATTAAATTAAGATGACGTCATACCAGAGTGGGTAGGCCCTTAATCCAATATGACTGTTGTCCTTATATGAAGAGAAGAGACAGTGAGGTCACAGAGGGGACACCACCATGTGATGGTGGAGGCAGCGACTGGAATGATGCATCCATGGGCTGTGTTCATGGGACTGCTGGCAATCACTGGAAGCTCGGACAGAGAGGCAGGAAACAGTCTCAGGAATCAACCCTGCCGGGACCTTGATTTGGGAATTCTAGCTTCCAGAACTGTAGGAGAGCGCGTTGTTGTGGTTTAAACCACCCAGTTTTCAGTACTTTGTAATGACTGTCCTAGGACCCTAACACACCAAGATAGCGGCTGCAAAAAGCAGAGCTCAACAGAGATCTAAAGTCCCCAGCTCTCGGTAACTAAAAGGGCCAGGCCTCTTTGGGTCACAGAGTCTGCGCCGTGTGCCCCCTCGCTGGGGCTGTGCTCACTCAGGTGTGCAGGCAGCTCTCAGCCTGGAGAGATTTCTCCTAATAAGCAGCAAAACCAAACACATGTTCCCGTCCAGGCCCCCGAGTCACCTGCCACTTGGCATTGAGAGGATGTCAGCCCAGTTCCTGGCTGGCAGCGCTGACAGGCGCCCATCTGCTCCGGAAGTGCCCGGCCTGGGTAAACACAGCCAGGCTCTGCCTCCCACGGCCAGACCAGCGGGGCCAGGCAGGCTGTGCGGAAGCCCTGGGCCTCAGGCCCCCTCAGGGTCACTCTCTACCCCAACCTGGCCACGGCTGGCTGCCCCTACTGGAATGGCATCCCGGAAACCCAGAAAGGAAGAGTGGGGAGCAGGGGTGGGGGCTCGACACAGGACCGGGCCCACCTCCCAGGTCACTTCCTCGAATCCCTCCCTGCTGGGCCCAGGGTCACTGCCCCCTCCCACAGGCTCTCCCCTCCCCACTCTCACCCACATCAAGCCATCTGCCACCCTCGCCCCCCTGGCGGGCACCACAGCCTGTGACTCAGCACCCAGCCCTGAGGCTGCTCTGTGGGTGGCGACTCCGGAAACCTTGGTGGGGAGGGAGCTGAGCTGGGGGGCAGGGGTGAAGGCTGGGGGGAGAAGACATGTGCAGACCCTAGGTGGCCTTTCCCTGAGCACCAACCCCTGACCACACTGCCTTCATCCGGTTCTTAAAGCACAAACTCTCCAGCAGAGGTGTTTCCTAAAATGTAATGGTCTCGTTAAAATGTACCTAATTCAGTTCCTTTTTTCCCTTGGGGATCCACCCCCCTGTTCTTCAGGCCCTGATCCCGGGGCCAAATTGGGACCTGCTTCTCTAGTGTATTCCACCCTCATCTCATGTGCCACCCCCAACCCCTTGCAGCCTCTGGAATAGAATATTCACCCCACACTCACCCTTGTGTGGATAAATTCCCACCAAGGTGTTAGAGACTTCATGTCACCTCCCTGCAAAGGGCTTGACCCCAGTGTGTATCCCAAAGGAAAAGTGGTAATGGGGAGACTGGAGGTGTCATTCTGGAAGGTAAGGAGGAGGGGCTGGACCTCACCCAGCGCATCTTGGGAGAGGGCTCCTGGTCTGCTTCTGAGTTAGGAGCTCTTTACATGTGTGTTGTTTCCCCTTAAAGGGGCTTGGCCCCAGGAACTTGGCTCTGGAAGAAAAACCTAGAGGCTGGGCTTGTCCCACAGCTTGAAGATTCGGATTTGAGGCCCGGCTCCAAAGCCCCGGAGGTGAGGATAGGTCTAGATCTCCAGCCCCAGAAGACCTGAGTTCCCAGTACACAGGATCCTGCTTCAGGCATCTGTCTCCACTCAGTCCTGCTGATCCCCCTTCCCAAGGGTTCAGCTTCCTTCGGGGCCTCTTGGAGATTTAGCTGCCTCGCCTCAATGCTCAACGGAGGTCCTCGGGATTTGACCCTGGCTCCCCTCCTGACTTAGCGGCCCTCTGGCATTCATCTCGGATTCTCCTACAGAACCAGGGAGTTGTGTCCCGTCTTCTTTTCCTAGCCCTGTTCCCCCCCTTAGAAGCCCACAGCCTCCTTTCATTTCATAGTGGCTGTTTTACTGCTGATAACTGCAAGGAAACAGATCGGGCCGAGCAAAAGTAAAGAATCCTGGAAAACTCCAAGAAACCTCAGACTTGTAGCAGGAAGAGTCTGAACGTATTTAATTCCTGGAGCTGCAGCCACGTGTGAACTTGAACAGGACACCCTGTCTGCACCTTGGTGGCTTCAACTCCAAGTCGGGGGAAAACACGAGTGTCTGCCCCACAGGGCGGCTGTGAAGGTTAATTGAGGCAGAGGGAGGACTGCAAAAATACACAATCTAAGATTGTCAGTCTGGTTCTTCTGAAGTGTACACAGTCTACTAAACAGTAAAAATTAATCACAGTCACGTGCATTATTCATTTAGCACTTTCTGTGCTGACACAATGAGTGTCAGACATTGTCTGAGGATGTGCTTCCCATAAGTCTGTGTTCCTTTACCCCAGTCTTTCTTCCCACACTTTTTCAAGAGACAGTTCAATGCCTCCAGGGGGGCCCCCTCCCTCCGCCTGGGTACTGGGATATTTTCCAGGCTAACCCTCTCTGGAGGAGAGTCTCCTGGAGACATATGCTGCTTCCCAGAGCAGGAAGGTGGGCAGAAAACAGCCCCAGCTGGAAAATCAGAGTTTGTGTTTCCGCACAACTTCTTCAGAATAATAGACTTGTAGGGAAAAAAAAACACAAAAAGCTTCACTCAGAGAACAGCAACCTGTTTTGCCCAGGGTTCTCTAAGCCTGTCCCACTTCACAGCTGCAGAAGTTGTGATATTTCCTGAGGCCACACAGCAAGTAACCAGCAGATATTCCACCAACATCGAGCACCTGCGACATAGCAGGTATTGTATCCAACAGGGCAGGTACTGTATTTATCCACTTGGTAAAGACCCATGGCCCACACCAGGCTCCAGGGAGGCAGGGATGGGAATGGCATTGATATTCTATGGAGAGGGATCAGACCTACACAAGTCAAAAAGGTCATTGCTGAGATGGATAAATTCAATGGAGAAAATAAATCTGGGTGCCAGATGGAGTGGTGGGTGGATTTAGGGGAGGAGTCACTCTCTACCTACCGTAGTCAAGGAGGCCTCTGAAAAGTGACATTTTTTGACATTTTGAAAAGATAAGACACAGGTATGTGAAGGGCGAGAGGAAGAGGCATTCAGCTGAAAAGAAGGGCAGGTGCAAAGGCCCTGGGGCAGGAATGTGCTTGGGCTCTTCCAGGAACACAAAGGCCAGAGCGGCTGAAGCAGTGACAGAGAGGGGGCAGTCAGGGTGGCGAGGAGAAGAGGGAGTCAAGAGGCCCCACAGCCATGGAAGTGAGCCTGAATTTTATTCTGAGGGCAACAGAAAGCCATAGGAAGCTTTCTAAGCAGGGCAATGACGGTCGTGATGTGTCATTTATAAAGATCACTCAGGAAGCTGTGTGAAGGATGGATGGAAGGGTGGCAAGGAGTTGTGAGGAAGCTCCAGTGGCCTGGACAACCGCGCCGGCTGTGGGGGTGGGGCGAAGAGGAAAGCAGATCAATGCCTGATACCAACACCTCTGAAGCATTGAGCACTGGCCTGGCATGCTCCAAGAGATATTCAACATAGAGCTGGGGGCCCCAGAAGAAGGGGTGCTGGTGGCCAGCTATGTGGTCCGGGTTAGGAGACTGGGGGCTGTTTTTCCTGGGCTAAAGGCCACAGGAGACCAGCAACCCTGGGTGGGAGCCTGCAGGGACAAATTCTGGGGATCCCTCATCCTCCTTTCAGTTCCTTAACATATATGATGTCTTTCTCTTCTTAAAAGGCCATTGTCAGAGGCACTACTTGTGACAGATCAGTGTTCCAGAAATAAGAACCTGGAAGCAATTAAAACAGAAGACAGCTTACTATATTTGTTTTTCTATTTCAAAATTGTGTTTAACTTGCACGTACATGTGATAAAAACCTTCAGAGCACAGAGCACACAGCAAGAGACAAATCCCCTCCCACCCTATCTCTATCCCCAGAACACATTCTCTATTATCTATTCATTTTTAATTTTTCAGAAACATTCTCAGCATATAATACATATACATCACACATCCTATTTTTAAACATGGAAATCAATTCAGTTCAGCTGCTCAGTCGTGTCCAACTCTTTGCAACCCTACAGACTACAGCATGCCAAGCTTCCCTGTCCATCACCAACTCCAGAAGCTTGCTCAAATATGGAAATAGAATAGTAAATTGTTTCGTATCTTTTTCCCCCCAAGCCATATGCTCAGAGGTAAAGAATCTGCCTACAATGCAGGAAACACAGGAGACCTGAGTTCGATCCCTGGGTTGGGAAGATCCCTTGGAGAAGGAAATGGCAACCCACTCCAATATTCTTGCCTGGGAAATCCCATGGACAGAGGAGATTCCATAGGCTCCTGAAGAGTTGGATACAACTGAGCACAGAGCATATGAATCATTATTTCATTCTTTTTTAGTGGTTGCATGTTACACCATCACAAAGCTGTATCATATAGGAAAGTGGGTATTTAGATGGTTTCTAGGTTTTGGCTAATACCAACAATATAGCATCAAACATCTTCATATGTAGGTCTTCAGTATTTCTACTGGATAAATTCACAGAAATGGAAT